TACATATGACTGCTCCTTTTTTCTCTTTCTCTAATATGCTTTAGTTTACTTATGTTAGATATATGATTACATTATTTGTAATATATATAAAAATATATCTGAGTTATATCTGAGCTTTCTGATATCTATTTATCTGTTTGTCTCATGTCTATACAGCCTGTTTTGCCTAAGCCCCTATTAATTTATACTTATTTTTGGAGAATATTATGTTTCTATATATATATGTAATTTAAAAATATTGAAATACTTTTAAATATAAAACTATTTTTGTAGAGTCACCAAAATGACAATTCCAATTTTATGTCAATGCATAATATCAAATGTCTCCTAGTTACTGCAACATTGTTTCAGTAATGTCTATATTTAAAATAGACATATATCTTAATTTTTTAGCACTCTCTTTAACTATCATTAGTGTTCCAAATTGGATGACATATGATTGTTTAGGAAATCTAACCATGAAATGTTGGTGATCTGAACACAATAAATAGGAATGAAAATGGAAGAGACAGAAATAAACATTTCGTAAAAAGCAATGAAATTTAATGAATGGCAGGAAGAATAGAAGTCATACAAAGAAAATTACTAATCGTTCAAATTGGAACAATCAGAAAAACAATGACAGAACTCAAAAAGTTTGGAAAGTTGGAGGTGTCGAAAAGTTAAGGAACAATTATACAAGTAAACATCTTTTGAGCTTGAAGCCCCATGATACTTCTCTGTGCCAATAATCTCAACTGTTTCTAATAAACACATTCAAACTCTTTGAATTTCCATATATGCATTAATTTAGTTCTAGTATGAATTCTTCTTAAAATATTAGCCATGATTTCGAGACTGTATGTTTACTGATGCATTTATCTGAATAACCAGAGACTTTATGAGTGCCTGAAATATAAATTTCTTCTGCAAACAGGAACTTACAAAGGAGTTGTTTTACAAATGAGAAACTAAAGCCTGGCGAGTTAAGTGTATTGCTCTGAATCACACAGATAATAATAATGAGCAAACCTACACTAACTGACTAGATATCAGGCACTGTCCTAAGAAAGTTATGTATTTTGATTGATTTAACCTCATAACACAACTTATCAGGTTAGTACTATAGTATTACTATCCTTATTTTACGTTGGGAAGATGAAATTCAGAGAGGTCAAGAAATATCTTAGGGTCGAACAGCTATTAATTGAAGTGCTGGGAACTTAACCCATGCCCTCAGGCTCAAAGGTTTTTTATCTGCTGTATCATTATTTCAATCATCAGGTAAAACAAGAGGAACCAATTGTGATGATTTTCAATTCTAGAGTTTATGTGCAGAATTGCACACATTTAGGAAAATTGCTTTAGAAATATTTCTTCTACACATGGAAGAGAACACACATTTATTTTAACTACATGAATATACTCTTAATACAGCCAATTAAACTGAAATAAGGCACTCACACTCAGGGATATGCCTACAAATTATTACATAAAATCTCTTCAAGGAAGAGTAAGTCTCAGTCTTTGAGATTACCTAAATAACTTGATATTGAAATGTGGAAATAGAAAGAAAAATTAAATCTGAGTTGTGCTTAGTAAATATTCAAGTGTCTTGAATCAAGAAAGCTTACTGGAAAAACATATTCTGAAAGCCACTTACAACATTTCAATTAAAAATAAATAGCAATTTTTAAAACATTATATTCTAATAATGTTTAACAAAACTTCTAAAATGTTTCTATAATATCATGAAGAAAAGCATTAAAATTATATTTATAAATATTTCACTTTATGAGAATTGAATTTTAGAATACTCAAATTTGCTACTTAAAGATTATTATTTAGGGGAAAGAATTTTAAAAGAATGCTGTTCCATTTATGCTGTGGGGCAGATTATCATTCTTGTACATTGAATTGAAACTTTAAAGGATTTACTGCTTTTCAAAATAAACTGATATCCACAGACAGCCATGCACATTCAATAAAACCCTTGAACAACAAAGTTTTATGTAAACAAAGAATTTCATTCTCTTAAATTATAATAGAATGTAATAATATAACTGCAAGCAGTGACAGATATAATTATATTTGATTGGGTAAATTAAGAGGAGTCTATAGAACTCACCGAACCCCTCAGACAGAAGTGACAAGGGGTCATCTAGTTTTAGACTGTACAGGGACATCTGCATTCCTACATCTGCATCTTGGCTGGGGCAGATTAGAAATCATGTAGGTTTTAAAAAGAATGGAGACATAGCGTCATTAACAATCCACATTAAGCCATCCTTAATATCAAACATCTCCTAGTTACTGCAACATTGTTTCATGTTTTAGATTAGGAAGGAAGGAAAGAAGAAAGGGAGGAAGGAAGGAAGAACGGAAGGAAGGAAGGGAGGAAGGAAGGAAGGGAGAGAGGGAGGGAGTGAGGGAGGGAGAAAGGAAGGGAAAGAGGGACATAGAGAAGGAGGGAAGGGGGAAGGAAGGGAAGGAGGGAGAGAAGAAAGGAAGGAAGGAAGGAAGGAAAGAAGAAGAGAAAGAAAGAAAAAGAAAGAAAGACATTAGGCTCTTAGTAAAAGAGGAAAAGGGGTCAAATTGGCTAGAGGAATGTGGACTTTGAGGGCAACATATACAATAAAAAATAAAACAGTTTCCTAGACAAATAAAGGGGGCATTTGCCCTAATTTTAAATGCAGTTACTATGAAAATATTATTCCTTAAATGTCTATTATTTTGAATAAAATTTATAGTTAATTTTATTAAATTCATATTGTCAATTCTTACTCTTTACTTAGTTAATAATTTACTTTTACAAGCATTTATGTATTCATTATATTTGTCAATGTGCATCTACATGAAAAACTAGAGAAGACACATGTCAGAGGGTATTTAAAACTCACTAATATTTTAAAACTCACACTTATTTTCATTTTTCTAACTTGGTAGTATGCTTACCAAAAATTATGAATTTTATATTTCAAAAAACTTAAGGCAAAACTATTCCCTAACCTATTCTATTCACTTTGATGATAAATGACTGCGGATCTCCACTTAAATTGGTAAAATAATTCAAACAAAAATATTCAGACATGTTGCAATCTGATTTTATACATTTTTTGTACTTTTTGATATACTATGTCACATGTATATTTAAACCTGTTAATAATTTCATCATTCTAAATTTTCTGTTACAGCAATAAGATTTAACGTGTTTTTGAAGATGTCATACTTAGCTGAGTAAAACAGAATATGAGTGAAAAATATAAAGCTGGAAAGACATAAAGAAACAATACATAAGAGTGCTTAATTTTTCAGATAAAAAATCAGAATCACAAAGGTATTAATTATTATAAACAAAGTAGTATTTAAAAATTATACTCAAGTTCATTGGCATTCAATTCACTTCTCTACCTACTGAATCTAAGAACCTGAAGCCATTTTGAATGCATCGTATTTTCCAACTCCCACTGAAAGTTTGCAGTTACTTAATTACCTCTTAAGTGTTAATTGAACGCTAATTGAACACCTACAAGTTAGGGAATTTATTAATCCCTGAGCCATCAATTTGTTAAAGATCTCACATAAGAAAGAAACATATTATAGAAAGGTATTTATACTTTAGCCCTCACACATTAATCCTCATGCTTACCCTGGGTTGAGGGAGATAAGGGAGGATAGAGATGAGGATCTGGGGAGGGTATGAAATAGGCAAGACTGAAGGGTAAGGCATGTACAGGACTTAATTGTTCTTTCTCCTAATAGTGTTTCAATTATTAAAGGCACATATTATGCTCCCTAATAGATCTCATGTTTCTTTACATTTTCCATTTCCTCTTTAATCATGTTTCAAATCCTCTTCGTGATTTCCAAGGTGTGACCTTAGTGCTGAAGCAAAACGCGCAAATGATTAGATCACTGTGGGACTCAGCTGACATTCACAGACTCTTTCTAGATAATTCAGTCAACATTTTAATATGTCAGATCCACCAGGGCAGTTTTGTTTGCGTTCTGTTGGCTTGCTTGCTTAGTTGTTCGTTTGCTTGTTGTAAAGAGGAGTAGCTCAAAGTCAATCTAATTCTGATAAATGGCCAGGATACAGAATTCCTGGCCCAGACACTGTGTTTCTTTATTATTATTATTATTTTAATCCTAAGATTGCAATTTTAATAGTTACAGAATTCCTTATATTCACACTGTTTATATGTAAATAGGCCAAGTTTACACTTGACACATTCACATGGACTGCTGCTAAGCAAAATCTTCAATATCTGAATAAAAACATGTGATTTTTATAATTTAGCTAGGATCTAATAATTTTACAATGATAATTTTTAGCTTTCTATGTTATTTCTAACCACCCAGATATTTGTGATTTCTGATTATGTTTCCCAGTATTTTCACTATTTTCTCAGCTCTGCATTTTTGTGGAAATATGTCCTGTATGTTCATTTAAATCTGATAAATAGGTTAACAGACTAGAACATAAAAAAGAGTCCTGCAGAATTCAAAAAAATTATTCGCTCCAGAATGACATAACATTTAGGTATGACTATTCAATTAATTTCTAATCTTCCCTGTGAGTAACATTAGAGACCTTGCCTAGTGCCATACTGACTTTAAAAGTACTTTGGACTGCCTTTGATGCTCTGCTGCCAGTACAGTGATTTACCATTTTACACTGAGGATGATAATTCCTAGTACTATTTTGCAAAATAAATTTGGAATAGAGCTAAATATCATATGAAAGTTTTTCATGTGATACATAATCAAAAGCTTACTTCAAGGCATACTTTAAAATAGATTAGGAAAATTGTTGCTTTTATGGAATTAGATGTCTTAAACAATTTGAATCTCAGTATTTCCACAAACTCATTAAGTAACCACACACACACACACATGCGTGCGCGCGCGCACACACACACACAAATATATATTTAAAGTCGTATTTCTAATACATAATCTACTTCATTGTTACCATGATAATAGTTTCCTGGAAGCAATAAAATCCAGGAGATTCTTACCGAAAAGCCTGGGAGCCTTGGTTGATTGTAGAGTCAGGGAATTATTCACAGCATTGACCTGGGTTCCATAATCATTCACTGGAAAAAAATACAGCCAATCAAAGCAGATAAACATTGTCAAAATCTCATATTTGTACTAATGATGCATAGCACCATGTTGAAACAGATTTCTGGCAATTTCATTCACATTGCTATGTCAAATTAGCAAACAGTGAATCTTTAAATATATTGTAAGGCAATATTTCCATGGGTAACAGTAGTTCTTTGTCAAAAAAGCGTTAACAGTTGATGTTTAAGTCATCCCTTAAATAAATGCTATAGGCAGGTAAAACTAATTGATTTTAGGTGGCATTCAATAACTTTGCTCTCATATTTGTATGAATGTGAAAGATTTTAGAATTATATTTTGCTAAAATTGTACTGTAGTATTTTCAGGAAGAAAAGTTAAATAATGTAACATAAAAAGTATTAGAGCTATGAAAATAATTTCTTAATTTTCTATCCTTTCTAAAAATATATGTAGTCACAAATCTGAGATTGAATGAACACAAATATATCTTAATTTGCATGGTTAAAACAAAACCGGAGTAAACTTGAACATCATCTGAGATGCCTTGGTTTTAAAAGGATGTCCACAAATGAACCAAAATGAAATGAGAAATAAACTTACAAGTGTCTCCACAGGTGTTCTTGCATTCTTCTAGTGTCTCAAAGTTGTTCATATTGCCCAGACATCCACCATACTTGAAACGTTCACACTGTTTTGTTTGATTGTTATAAAAATACCTGGTAATATAACCTCGGCATATTCCAGGATCTTCTTCCAAAAAGCAGAAATCTGGCTTTCCTATAAATTATAAAAATGTCAGAAAGCAATATTCTTTTTTTGTAAATAAATTACTGAGTTTAATATCATTTATAATAACTGGCTACGTTATTTAAGAAGTAAGCATAAAAAATTAAAAGCAAAAATCGAACTATAATCACAGCTAAACACTAATAAAAGTACCTATCATATTTTGGGATTGGTGTTTCAAATTCTAAATTTCTCATAGTAAATTAATAGGAAATTAACTATGACATTTTTACGAATTTAAGGAGTAAAAGATTATTTTACCATGTACCACTCTTGGTTTGAGATTATGGCAAAAATGTGGTTTAATTATTTTTAACATGTTTATGTGTATTAACATTTAGGAAAGGTCTGTGAACATTTTAAGTTATTGACTGTGGCTTCTCAGAAAAAGCAGTGCGGTGCATTGCATCACTAAGGATGGTTTAAATTTTTAAAAGTTGAAAAAGAAGATTTGTGGGTATGGAAGTTTTCATGGCTAGCCTTAGAAGTTCCTAAGTTCTTATGCGGGAATTAATATCTATATTGGGTAGGACATCCTCTACTGCTGTGTCATTTTTTTTTCCTGCTTCTTGGCATTGGAATGACTTCAGTAATGCAGAGGCAGAAAGGAAATACATGTTCAAGGATTGGAGAGGCTTTTGCAAAAGACTAATACCTCTTCTTTGATAGTGCTCCAAAGCAGGCTAAACTCAGCTGTCACAAAAGTTTGTGCCACTGTGATTTACATCAACAATTCTGTCTACATGCATGGACTGTGAAAAGAAGTGAGCTAATTTTCAAAATTATCATGCTCACAAGGCATTGTGCTTGAATGTTTTAGAACAGAACTCGAATTTCTTCTCAATTTTTTTTATTCCTGCGACTATATTACCACATAGGCAAAAATGAACTGTGGTACCTTTTTCATCTTAAAGCAACATGTTCTTCCACATCAGAGAAGCAATACCCATGAGTGTTTTAAAATTAAAAAAAACCCATGTATTTAATAATATTAATGATTTCTGCAACAGTTGCAGAACCAACACCTTATTAAAAGTTATTTTATTAAGTAAAATTTTCTACTATAATATACTTTTAAAAGCCTATTTACTCTAACTTTGCAATGTATTAATCTGAAAGTTAACTTTGTGTCTTCTTTATTGCCTTTTGTTCTTTCAAGCGACTGTTTTTATGATTTTTAGCTAAGTGTAATAGTATATGGGGAAAGGAATAAAACAATTCTTTAAAATTTTTTCACATTTTATAAGGTAAAAAAACACACTCAATTACTATCATTTGATCTGTTTTAGTCTTAATGTGTACTTTTCATGAAATTTTAAATGACTTGAACAGAAGATGCAAGAATTTTATGTTTGCCAAAAGTGGATGGGTGAAAAATATTGCATATAAAGAACATAAAAGTCTAACAGGTTATGCTGATAAGTATAATTAAGAAACTGTACATGTACATAAATATACACATCTAATATGTACCTACAAAAATTAAAAATAAACAAACAGAACAACAACAAAAAGGACTGTAAAACTAATATGTAACCACAAAAATTAAAAACAAACAAAACAACAAAAAAATAAACTGTACAACTGAATGTTGTCATTTTTCATATGAAGCCCCATTGGGAAACATGAACTTATTTGAAGACAAAGTTGAAAATGCACACATGTAAAATAATTCTTTTTTGGGCTGCAATTTAAAATACAGTTGTGAATCAAGAAATTAATTTCCCATATTCCTCAAGTAAATAAATTGACTGTCTTACTGAGTTTGCATACATAATCCTTGCTCTAAGTTGGTGCGCAGTTGAACTCGAGTAACAGAATGCAGACTGGATAAGCCACAGTATTATTACTGCTAACTTTTGTTTGGATCTGAATACTTGGTAATCGTCTTGGACCAAACTTTCTTTCAAAGGAATTGTATTAAATCTCAAATTTCTTTATAATGGTCCAATGCTAGGAAGCATAATACAAAGTGAACTTGAAATTGATAGAAGTCTTTTTTATGAATAGGCGTTAGCATGTAAGCATTTTAAACATTCATGTAAATACAGCTTTATTCTATAACTTTAATATATAATATGAATTATGAATGATTGAATTTTAAATTATAAATATATACTTTATAGCATAATTGTACATAAAAATATTACCTGTATTGATTTTTTTTCTAATTCTAGGTTTTTGGTAAAAGGTCCTAATATTTAGATATTGGTATTTTCTTTCACAAAAATACCTTCTTTTACTTTGTGGACAAAAACTTCTTTATCATAAATATGCCATTTTATTTGATATTACAGATAAGGCCTTCATTTAATTGAAGTACTAAACGTTTTTGTCAAGATTAGTTTAATATTTATAGGAACTTCTTAAAAAAATTGTAAGTAAGTACATACATTTAATTATGCTTCTTGTACAAACTTTGCTATTACCTTTATTTTATAAATTTTGACTACAATTCTGGTCAGTGGATTGAGTCTAAAGACTATCAATGTGTCACAGATATTTTCAAGTCTTTCCCACATAAATAAATCAAAATAACTAAAACTAAAATGCACTTTGAGTTTCATGGTCTTTTTGTCCTTAAACATTTAACCTCTTTGTTCAATATTTTCTCATTGAAATGTAAATGCCATAAATGGCAATTGGACCAAATCAGTTTCTAGACCTTTATTAAAAGGAGGTTAGTTTCCCTGATCCATTGATAACATTTTTTCTTGTGCTGATATATTTGTGAAAAAGTAATTATTTTAGGCTACAAACAATAAATAATATGATTTAAATTACACAATTAAATGTACACATAAATGCTAGAAATTTATTTTTAAATATCTTCACTTACTTTTGCATGTATAACTAACTGCTGGCAATGCAGAGACATGCATCCATTTAAGGGAATATTTGATAAAACTTGCTAAAGCCACACAATGCTGAGATTAACAAGTGATTAGAGATCAGAGAAATAAAGTAAGACTCAAGACATATAAATCTCTATCTGGAAGATGTTAAAATAGCATGTGTGTGTCTCTGGACTATGATGGAACTAAAGCTATATATCATGCTGCATTAGAATTAGGGTAAATATGGTGTTTGGAGCCTCCTCTGACAAATAATAATGTTTATATTTTTCTTATTGTTGATTATGTCAATTGAAACACACAATAAATCATCTCAAGAGTGATATGATCCATCTCTCATATGGGTTATGATCAATCTCTTTAATGGGTTTTTGATCAATCTCAGAGAAACTTAAGAATTGAATATCTATACTGAATCAAGGACCAGAAGAAACAAACAAACAAACAAATAATTGAATATCTAAATGCCTTACATAAGTGTTTCAAATTTACAGACAAATGAATGTTTACCATTTTGTAATGTTGTCTTTATCATCTTTCCATTACCTGTAATCAAAAGAATACATACATATCAATTGCCACAATTTATAACATAATACTGTGAATTTGAATTTAACAAACTAGAGTGACGTATTTATCAACATTAAAATTTTTCTTATATAGAATATCTTAATACAAATTAAATTTTTTTCTCTAAAAAATAATCTTTTCTATTTCCTGTAATCATGAAGCCACCTCATTTCAATATAGCAATGTTTTAGGAACTATGATTAAACTTTCTAACACACTTACAAAGCTGAGATTCATAGTGACTAAGTTTACTGTTCAGAATATCTATAATTAAAATAATTATTTAAAAAATGTGAAATATGAAAGTAATTCAAGGAGCCTATTTTGCATATAAAAATAATTTGTTAGTTACCTGGGAATAAGAGTGAAATTAACCAGAATTATTTCCTTTCCTTTGTCTTTTCCCTGCTTCATTGTCTCAACCCAATTGCAAGTTTTATTATTATTACTAAGGTAGAGAAGAAATGAAACAAAAGTCATCTGGAACACATTGTTTGGTTTAACATTTGAATTGACAGAATCATTTCCTTCAAAACCCAGAACGCTAGTTGTCTTTGTCCTACCATATCCCAAGTATGAATTCTAAGTTCTAATTTAAATGATAGGTAACGAAAATCAAACTGACAAAATAAGTCTATGTAATTTAATTTGTTCACATAGACATTAGGAAAGTTGAGTTATATTTATTTTGCTATAGAATCATTTGTTTTACAAAGAAAATATTTGGTCAAAGCAGGTTACAATTAGTTGTATAACCAGAGACCAGTTTTATGGCCAGGTTAGCTAGTTGTGTGACGGAAAGGGAGAGAGTGAGAAGAGGGAAGAAAGAGCTAGAGAAAGAATATGAGTTGGGTTATGAACTTCTTTCAGCCACTGGATCATCCTTTTTCTCTTGAAATAGTTCTTCTATGAAGAGTAAAATGTCTGTGAAAGGGAAACTAATAGACACAAACTTCTTTTCAAATTATACTATGTTTTATTCAATGGCCTTTTAAAAAAAGAGGGTGTGTGTGTGTGTGTGTGTGTGTGTGTGTGTGTGTGTGTGTGTGTGTTTGTGTGTATATAGCTATATCCATTGAGGTAAGTTTATTTACTTTGTTTTCATTGCAACTAGCCAACTTAATGTTTTGAACTAGATTGTAGACTGTCATATAATATGACATTAAAATATTTAAACCTAAAACTGATATGATTTAATTGATAAGGGGAAGAAAGGAATATATACATATAATGAGTGTATAAAACTAGAACACTAAGCAATTTTCATTCCTTATTTACCTATTGACAATAGTCATAGGGTGGTAACGCGAATGCTTGATTCATACAATATTTTAGGGAACATCTATTTTGTTAGTTTATTGTTTCATTCTAAATACAATTAATTTAGCTAATATACATGCCAACTAACTCAATGTGGGTTAGCACACTAGAATTTTAAGTGTACTTATATTACCAATAATTATCTTTGTGTAATCTAATAATAATTACAACCATGGGCTCTCTAATTTGTCCATGAGAATTTAAGAAATGAATATACTGAATCAAGGACCAGAAAAAACAAACAAACAAGCAGACAAACAAAAATTGAATATCTAAATGCCTTACATAAATGTTTTCATAATTTGTATGCCATAGCAATATGAGAGCAACAAATAGAAAACATTTATAGCAAATTATCAAGTTTTCTTAGATTTAGACAGGACAAACACTTTATCAATGCTTTTTAAGAAGTAATAATCAAGGGGAGAAATGCCAGATGTAGGTGATGGGGAGGAAGGCAGCAAATCACACTGCCACGTGTGTACCTATGCAACAATTTTGCATGTTCTTCACATGTACCCCAAAACCTAATATGCAATAAAATAAATAAATGGGAAAAAAAGAAGTAATAATAGAATATTAGACTAATTTCCATTCTAGTACTCTTTTGAATTTCAACTTACATGAATTAGTTTTAATATTTCATTATGAACATTAAGATGTAAGACTGAAAGTGAAAATATCACAGAATTTGCATTTGGTTGATAGACATTGGCATATAATACTTATACCTCAAACTGACTTACTGATTTTTGTTTACTGATTTTGAGTAGATTTATACTCAAAATTGTACCATATGTAAATAATGATATGCTCACTTGGGTGTGCAAGGAGAGTGTTAGATAAACATCAATTGTGTGGAGTTGGTAGAGAGTGTTGTCCAAATCTTTTGTATCCTTAGTGATTGTCTGTTTTACTTTTTCAGTCAATTACTGAAAAACATGTCTTGAAGTATGTAAACTGAATTGAGGAATTGTATACTCTGACTTCTGCCAATCTTTCCTTTAAAAATTTGGAGTTCTATAATTAGGACCATGCACATAGACATTAAGGATTGTTATGTATGTTTTATTAATGGGCCCTCTTATAAATATCTTTCTTCCAACTGGTAGTATTTCCTATCCTGTCTACTTTTACTAATCATCTTATGGTTAGTGCTTACATGGTGTATCTTTTTTCCATCATTTCACTTTTAATCTCTCTGTCCTTATTTTTAAAGGGCCTTTCCTGTAGACAACACATAGTTATTGATTTATTTTTGCATACACCATGATAATATATGCCTTTTAATTGGAGTGACTGGACCATCATATTTTAATTTAAGCTAATTACCATTAAAGTTTAGTATAAACATCACTAGCTGTTTGATTTCTGTTTCTCAATTCTTCTTTGTTTCTGTTTCCCTCTTTTCATGTCTTCTTTAGAATTATTGTAATTGAGTATTTAATGATACTTTTATCTTCATTATGGGCCTATTCACTATTTTTGTCTGTTTCATTTTTTTAAAGGTTGCTTTAAGGATTATAATGTACTAATCCATTACAGTCTAGTGTCAAGCAATTTATGTCATTGTCACCTGTTACAATAATCTCATTTTTTTTCACCTTCTTTCCTGTGTGCTTTAATTTTTAGTCCTTTAATATTAATTGTACTGCTGCTCTACCAGGAATAAATTTTTGCATAATAATGTTGATTTAAAAAGTGCCTATTTTAAGGAGTAGATTAGTGATTGGCAGTTTTTTTCTCTTTTAGTTCTTTACTTTTTCTTTTTAAAAATTTCTTTCTTTTTTTGTTTTTATAGATATAGGGAATAGAACTACAGTTTTGTTATGTGGTTATATTTCATAGTGGTGAAGTGGATTTTAGTGTAACCATAACCCAAATAGTGTCCATTGTACCTATTAGATCCCTTACTCCCCTTTCTTCCTTATATCCCACTGAGTGTCCATTGTCTATTTGTCTATTATTCTACTATAACCACATGTACAAATTATTTACCTCCCACTTACAAATGAGAACAGGTGGTATTTGAATTTCTGTTTCTGAGTTATTTCACTTAAGATAATGGCCTCCAGTTCCATCCATGCTGCTATAAAGGACATGATTTTTATTTTTAATGGCTGAGTAGTATTCCATGGGGGGTATATGTGTATACATAAATATCATATTTTCTTTATCTAATCATCTGTTAATGGACACATGTTGGTTTTATATCTTTGCTACTGTAAATAGTGCTGTGCTAGACATTCAAATATAGTTATCTTTTTGATATAATGATTTCTTTGCTTTGGGGTAGATATCCAGTAGTCGGATTGCTGGTTAAATGGTAGTTCTATTTCTTAGGTCTTTGGGAAATCTCTATACTGTTTTCCATAGAGATTATATAAATTTACATTTCCAGCAACAATATATAAGCATTTTATTTTCTCTTAATCTCTAACATCTGTTATTTTTTGTCTTTTTAATAATAGCTGTTCTGATTGCTGTAAGATGATATCTCACTGTGATCTTAATTTGCATTTGTCTGATAATTTGTGATTTTCAGCAGTTTTTATATGCTTGTTGGTTGCATCTATGCTTCTTTTGAAACATATCTTTTTGGGTCCTTTGTCCATTTTTAAAAATGGTTTGTTATTTTCATGTTGAATTGTTTGAGTTCCCTGCAGATTTTGGATATTAGTTTTTTGTCCAATACATAATTTGCAAATTTTTCTCGTTCCTTAGGTTATCTGTTCACTCTGATATGTCTTTTGCTGTGCAGAAGATTTTAATTTACTTGTGGATCAACTTTAATTCTCATTTGTCTATTTTTGTTTATTTTCAATTTGCTTTTGAGGTTTTAGTCACAAATTTTTTGCCTAGGTCAAATATCCAGAAGAGTTTTTTCTAGATTTTTCTTCTAGAGTTATTATGGTTTTAGGCCATACATTTAAGTCATTAATTTATTTTAATTTTTGTATAAGGTGAGAGACACTGTTCCACGTTTATTCTTCTGCATACAGCTATCCATTTTCCCAACACCATTTATTGAATATAACGCCCATTCACCAGTGTGTGTGGTTTTGTTGATTTTATCAAAGATCAATTGGCTGTAAATAAATATAAATAACTGTTACAGTCAGGATGGGGGCTGTACCCTGCAAAGCTACAGGGGCAGAGCTGTCCAAAACCATGGGAGCCCACTACTAGCATCAGCATGACCTGGATGTGAGACAGAGTCAAAGGAAAATATTTTGGAGCTTTAAGATTTGACTGCTCCGCTGGATTTTGGACTTGCACAGGGCCTGAAGACCCTTTGTTTTGGCCAATTTCTCCCATTTGGAACAGCTGTATTTACTTAATGCCTGTATCCCCCTTGTAGCTAGGGAGTAACTAACTTGCTTTTAATTTTAAAGGCTCATAGGCAGAAGGAACTTGCCACCTCTTGGAGAACTCTTTGGACTGTGGACATTTGAGTTAATGCTGAAATGAGTTGAGACTTTTGGGGACTGTTGGGAAGGCATGATCAGTTTTGAAATGTGAAGAAAGGTGATTTGGGAAGGGCTGAGGGTGGGGTAATATCGTTTGGCTCTGTCCCCATGCAAATCTTATCTTGAATTCCCTCGTGTTATGGGAGAAACCTGGTGGGAGATAATTGAATCATGAGGTCAGGTCTT